GAAGAGGTGATGTGGAAACAGGACACAGAGAGACTTCAAGATGTTGCACTGCTGGTTTTGAAGGTGAAGGAAGGGGCCACATCCATGGAACGTGGGCAGCCTCCAACGGCACAGCTTGAAAAACAAGGAAACAGACTCTCTCCTAAGCCTCCAGAAGAGACAGCCAGGTGGGCACCTTGATTTGTGTTGACATCCACTACTAAGCTTACAATAATTTGCTAGAGCACCAAGAGGAAACTAACAAGAGGCGTCACCCTGTCTAATCCAACATAGTGTGCATTGCGATAGGAGCATCACAGAGCTAAAAGTGACGTGATACTTTGCAGCTTGTTTTTCTTACCTCTCATCTCATGACTAAGAAACAAGTGGGTGATGGCAAACCCACCTGTGAAACGTGGGTGCGGTGCCTTGGTGCTTGGACCGCTTTTGTGTGAACAGGGCACCTTGATGCGAGCGAATCCACATGGGCACCCAACCGGGGGCCTCAGGGAAGGACTGAGAGCCGCTGGCCCAGGTGTGTGGAGGAGGCTGCAGGTGGGACAGCAGGACGAGGCCTGTGGACCAGGTGGAAGAGACACTTTGTCCCATCACCATGGGAGCCTGGGTGAGAGTTAGGTGGGGGAAGCCCTCTGCCTCTGACCTGCATGCTTATTTATGGGGAGGAGGTGTGTTTCAAGATAAGATCCCGTTCAGGGAGAAAAGTGGACACTGCTGGGAGGTACTGGGCTAGACGTCATGGGCAGTGTCCGGGAAGGCTATGCTCAGAGCATGAAGTCTGGGTCCCAAACCCTGGCGTTCCTCTGACAACCTGCCTTTATGTCACCGCAGCAGGAAGGACATCCCGAAGGCTGGAGAAAGCTTCAGACAGGTCTCAGTGCCCTGGATCTTGGATCTGGGGACAGGGCAAGTTTATGGGTGAAGGCCACCAGTCAGGGCCACCGGGGATGGGTGAGGAGGACCAAAGGGCTCAGGACACCAAAAGGCTATGAAGGGGTCCCACCTGGGACGTGTGCCTGCCCATGGCTGCTCCTTCCAAGCTCCTCCTCGTGTGGTCATCAGAGGCCCCATGTCCTGTGCTCCTGAGAACCCTGTGCACGTGTGCAGACACTGGAGGTGTCTCCAGCCTTGGTCCCTGAGCAGGGTGAGGACCGCTGAGTGCTGTCATAGTTTGGCCACAGCTCTGGTGATCTCTCCTTTTCTAGTTAACGTGGTCCCAGCATGTCAACACCCCTCGCCCCTCCTCTATCTCAGGGGACTAAGGTGGGGGCTTGGTGAACTCAGAGGGAACATTTCCCTGTGTGACCCAGGAGAGAAGGGCCCCAGAGGTTCAGGTGAATTTCTGCTCAGAGAAATCACCATTCACCAAAAAAGGGCCAAGGAGCGGGAAGAGTCCTGTTACATCAGATCCCCTCATGTTGTCCCTGGTGGGTCAGGGCCCGGGATACTCTCCCTGGGAAACCCCACTTCCTGGGACATGGGGGCCTTTGTCCTGGCCCATCCGGGGTTCGTGGCAGCCTGTCGGGGCTTCCAGAAATCAGGAAGGCCCGGACCCTGGGTCCATGTCCCTGAATATCCTCTGGGCTTAGAGCTGGCTCTCTGGCTCAGGCGGGGGCACCTGACCCCACCCAGGGTCTGGGGTCTCAGGAAGGCCCCTGGAAGGTGTAGCTCCCAGGGGAGGGGAAACTAAGAAGACACTTGTCCTTTGTGGTTGATCTGGCAGTAAATGTTCCTGTCAGGGTGTTGTAACTCCTGTAAAAGAAAAAGAGGCCTCTGAACCCCGCAGGCTTCTCAGAACATGTCTGGGTGACTTTCAGGTCCTGCGTCCACCTCTCTGGGAACCTGGCTGGGTGGCAGGTTTCTGCCCCAGGCCCCTCCTTCCTCCCACTAGCCCCTGTGCCCTTTTGCCCTGCTGTGTCCCAAACCTGAAAGCACAGGCAGGGCAGGCTGGGGACAGATCCTCAGCCCCCTTGGGCTTGGGGGACCTGAACATTCATTGCCCACACTCACCTGGTAGATGGGAACGGCTGTCCTCGGGCTGGGTAGGGCGCTCTGAACAGGGGGAGAGAATGGGTGTCAGTGGACAGAGGGAGAGTCATTTCTCTGCAGGGGTGACCCGTTCTGCCTCTTGAGCAGCTTTCGCCAAGCCTGTTGACCCACACCCCAGACCCAGACCGGTCTCTCCTGAACTCCCTGCCCCACTCCTATTAGCCCAGGACCCCTGGCTGATGTGCCCAGTGCTCTGTCCTTGGCCAGACTCCAGGGTTCCCCTTGGGCCAGCTCAGAGTGGCAGGAGACACTCAGGACGGGGTGGGGAGTGGTCCTGTCCCTGAAGACGGTCCCATTCCTGGGCAGAACGGGCCCTGCCTTGTCCTGGCTACTCTGGGGGAAGCAGGGTGTGTGCTGTGCTGCTGAATTCGTTGGTTCTCTGCCTTGCGCCCGCACAACCTAGACCCCAGTGGGGAGGGGGCGGGCTTACCGGGGATGTGGAGCTGCTGACTGGACCATGACCTGGGGACAGAAACAGGAATTAGCACCCAGGGTCCACCCTCCCAGGAGGTACCGGGTCATCGGCTCTCGGAGAACCAGGGAAGGAGCACCTCCCACAGGGAGACCCACTGGTGCTGGTCTGGGAGGTGCTGAGCCGTGACCTAGATTCCATAGGTCAGGGAGTATGGCCAGTTGGGGTCCCCTGTACTGAAGCCCCAGGGACGTGGTCAGAGGCCCCAGGGTGTGACTGGCAGGAGTGGACATTGGGGGCAGGTCGAGGGGCTCCCTGTGCTGCCTGGGCTGAAGGGATACTCACCAGGGGTGCAGGCTGGGTGCCCCATCTCTCTGTGATTACGTTGGCCACTGGCCCTAGGAAAGATCAGGCTTATTTGTGAGGTGGGCAGGGAGAGGTCACAGCTCTGGTGTCAGAACAGGGGACAGGGAGGGTCCTCATTCCAAGCAGGGCTTAGAGACCCCATCTCTCCACCAGTCAATTTAGGAGGGGAAGGGCCCAGGAGAGGGATAAAAAAAGGCCTTCGGAGCACATGTATCCTCGGACCAGAGAGGAAGCCGGGCAGCGGACGGACACCTAGGAGAAAGTGTCCCGAAAAGGGATCAAGGGCCCAGGAAAGGAATCACACATGAGGGTCTGAGTGACTGGAAGGGTCAAGGCGGCCAGCTGCGTGTGCAGGACGCTTGGGGAGCCCCAGGTATGTCAGATCCCTGAATGCGGTGCCCCCGCTGTGGCCAGATCCTCGAGTCCTCAGGCCAGAAGACGCTGAAGACTGACATTGGCTCGTGCTCTATCTCCATCTGCATGGACGAGGGGCATTGTCCCAGGACCTCTACTTGACGGGGCCCAGGGTCTGCGGTGTCACACATCAGGCACCGTGGTTCCCGCATGTGCCACTTTGGGGGTCGACCCCACCCGGCCTGTCAGGCTCTTTCACTCTCCCTTGTGTGACCTTGGCCAGGACCACCCTCGGTCCTGAGGCTGCAAATCCCCGTCCCAGGGCATGTGGACTGACAAACCACGGCAGGTACCGGTCTCCGTGCACTTAGTACCGAGCACTGCTGTAGGGTTGCTGAGCGAACCAGGACAACCCTGAGGGGCTGTTCTGTGATTGTCCCTAATTTTGCACAGAGGCAGCTGTGGAGGAAGGGCCCCGGGCAGCAGCTGGTGAGGAAGGAGCCGGGTGTGATCAGAGGAGAAATCCAGGGGGCAGTTGGGAGGTCTGGGACACCCAGCCCAGAATCCTGGGTCAGGACGGCGTCTGCCTGCTGGTGAGTCCGCTGGGGTGGGGGAGGGGTGGTGGACAGGATCGTGTGTAGGAAATGCCATCATACCTTCCCGTCTTCACCCGGAGCAGGACATACCCCAGGGAGGCCACGAGTGCCACCCCAACCAGGACCCCAATTGCAATGCCAACACTGGTCCCCACAGGGAGGCCCGTGGGGCTTCTTCCATCTGAAATAAGAAGCAAAAGGGAGGAGGAATGAGTCCCAAGTCATATCTGCTGAAGCCATGAGGGGCTTGGGGGCGGGGGGAAGGGCCTGGTTAAGGAGGAAGGAAAGACTTTGAGGTCTGGGTGGTAAGGCCATGCTATCCCAAATCTGCTTGCCTGCTGTGTCATTTAGTTTTTTTATTATTGAGAGACAGAGAGAGAGAGAGAGAGAGAGAGAGAGCAAGGTAGAGGGGCATGAGAGAGCGAGAGAGAGAATCCCAACCAGGGTGTCTGCTTTCAGTGCAGGCCCCAACGAGGGGCTCTAACCCACGCAACTGTCTCCATCACCTGAGCTTGAGAGATCAAGAGTTGACCATGACTGGGGTGGCTCAGTTGGTTAAGTATCTGTCTTTGGCTCAGGCCATGACCTCATGGGTCATGGGTTCTGGCCCCGCATTGGATGCTGTGCTGATAGTACGGAGCTTGCTTGGGATTCTTTCTGCCTCTCTGTCTGCATCTCCCTAACTCCATCTCTCTCCTCTCTCTCTCTCTCTCAAAATAAATAACTAAGCTTTAAAAAACCTTAAAAAAAACCCCATAAGAATTGCTGGCTTAACCAACTGAGCCACCCAGGTGTCCCTGCTGTGTCGTTTCTACTCCTCATAGTGAAACCTTGACTTAATTCATGTTGCCCTTCCAAACTGGCCAAAAGCGATCCTGCTTATTCCTCCAAGGCCTCTCTTCCTCTCTGCCATTGCCTTCCCCATTTCTTCCATCACTATCATGGTCTTAGAGGGAGGCCCCTACTTGGCTCCACTCAACAATGGATTAGTGAAACAGCTGACTGCTGAGGTCAGCTGGGCCAGGCACATGGGAAATACTTGGTGTTTATCTCATCTGCTGCTTCCATGAGAAGGGGCTGGGTGTCAACCTCACTGTGCAAATTATAATCTGAGAGTGTCAAGGGCTTCAGTAAAGTAGAAGGTCAAGAACTGGACTGGGAGTTAGAGACATGTAAACACTAATCCCAGCCCACGGACGTTACGGCTAATACAACAACGCCAATACAAAAGATCAAGAACGCGCTAAATTTGGAATTGAACCGTGTAGGATGCTGTCTCAGGATTTACATCATTAACCTCATAGTAACCCCTCAGAACGTCTTAAGACCCAGCTGTTCTTTCCGAAGGGGCAGTTTTATGGATGAGGAAACTAGGTTTTGGAGGTTGAGTGTCTTGTCTGGAGGTCCCACACAGGTATAAAGAACCAAGATACACAAGATTAGTCTAATTCTGACCTCATCCACATTGCTGTAGTAGAGGCTGTGAAGCAGGCCCCACCTCCCAGACCGGTATTTCTCCTATTTCACACACATCCCCCCGCCCATGAAGTATACAGGGAGGAAGGGGAGAAGTTGAGGGTTACTCACAGCTCACAGTCAGCCTGACGGGCTACTTTTCCGGAATCAATCGCTTGGAAACTTCACACTGATTTGCATGCTCCCCACCCCGAGGGCTGGGTAGAAGTGGTGGTGGGGTGCTGTGTTGTCCGGGGACAGCCTATCCCCTCTCCTGCTATTTTTAGACTCTGTTGCTGAAACCACCAGATGGAGACCCCTGTGTTATCAGGAAGTTGGGTATCAGACCACAGAGTCCCAGGTTCTGTGGCTGTGGTGTCACTGGCATGGACAGTAGGCTGGGACATTCTGCTCTGTGGGAGAAACAGAGGAGGGGTGGTTAGAATGAGGGAAATTTTGGGCTTTTCATGTCTGTCCTAGAAGCACCACACACCTCTTAGCCCATGTGTCCAGCACTTCATCAGCAGGTGGAATTCTTCCCATGGACTCCTCAAAAGATTCCCTTTCTTTGAACTTCCCCCTAAGGACTAGTTAGATCAAGTTCTCACCTTATATACCTTTTCGTGTATGGTGGGGAGGAAGGTTTGGTGGCCTTCTCATCTCAAGGCCCCAGTAGCTTTATAAAGTAGGGAAGGGACACACCTGGGTTATAATCTATTAGGAAATCAGAGCAGCCCACCAGTCTTCTCATCCTTTAGGAATTAAAGAGTTTTCAATCACATAGGATTTCTCAGGCTGGCTTTCACTTCATCACTGTGGATTGACTCGATGGTGAAAAACTTCAGTGTAAAGAAGCTAAGCATTGTATACAGAATACTAAGCAGCCTTATAAATATCAGAAGGAAATGATTGTAACAGAATAAAGGCCTTATAGAGAAACACATCATCTATGGTGAAACACTGAAAGTAAGTCAAGATCAGGATATACATAAACACATGCTCTTTTCACCACCCATGTTCAACAGAGGAAAGGAGTCCAGCCGCAAAGAATTAGGAGCAGCGAATAAGTACAATGAGGTCTGTTGTAGATGATGGAAATTATATGTACAAACTCTAAAGATTCTAAACATTGCTGGAACTAATAAACAACAATACTTCAACACAATTTGCAGGATACAAAAATCAACAGGCAAAAATCAATTGTGCTAGTTAAAAAAATACCTTCCTCCCAAAATCAAGAAAAAAAAATTCATTTAGCAATAACATTAAAAAAAGAATAAAAGAAGTTAGGAAATTTGAAAGAATGAGGCAATAGAGTATACATGGAAATCTAGAAAACGTTGCTGAAAGAAATTACAGAAGACACAAATGAAGGGAAAGACATCCCATGTTCATGGATGATGAGACTTAATATTGTTAAGATGACAATACTACCCAAAGAGATCCACAGATTCAATGTAATCCGTAACAAATGCTTTTCTTTTAAGATTTTATTTTTAAGGAATCTCTATACCCAACGTGGGACTTGGACATACAACCCCGAGATCAAGAGTCGCATGATCCACTGTACTGAGTCAGTCAGGTGCCCACCCTGTTAAATTCTTAAGGAAATATTTTGCAGAAATAGAAATTTCCAAAAAGTCACATGGAATCTCAGGGGCCTCAAATAGCCAAAATTATTTTGAAAAAGAACAAAGTTGGAGGACTCCTACTTCCTGACTACAAAGCTACAGTCACCAAAATAATGTGGGCCTGCTATATAGATAGACATAGAGACCGATGGGATACAACAGGCACCCCAGATACAAATCCTGATACATATGGTCCAATGATTTTCAGTACGGTTGTCATGACCATTCAATGGAGAAAAACTTCTATTCAAGAAATGGTCTTGGGAACACTGGATACCCATGCAAATGAATGAAGTTGGATCCTGACCTTACATCATGCACAAAAACTAACTTAAAATAGATCAAACATCTAAACGTAAGAGTCAAAACTGTGAAAGTCTTAGAAGAAAACATAAAGCAAAAGCTTATTGAAACTGGATTTCCCGATGATTTCTTAGATGTGACACCCAAAGCAAAGACAACAAAAGAAAAAACAGATGAACTGGATTGCACTGAAATAGAAAACTTCTGTGCACCAAAAGGCACAATCAAGAAAGTGATGGTAGCACTTAAGGAATAAACAGGACTCAGGAAGGAAATAGACAGCATAGGAAATATAGTCAATGGCATTTTATTATTTTAATTTTTTAAAGATTTTAAGATTAAATAAGCTCTACACCCAATGTGGGGCGTGAACTCACAACCCCGAGATCAAGAGTCACATACTCTACCTACTGAGCCAGCCAGGTGCCCCTAGTCAATGGTATTTTAATAGCATTGCATGGTGACAGATGGTAGCTACACTGTGGTAGGCATAGCATAACACAGAGTTGTCCAATCTCTATGTTGTGCACATGAAACTAGTGTTACATTGTGTGTCAACTAAAGTTCCCTAACCACCACCACCACCACCAACAACAACAACAATAACAAAGTGATGGCACCCACAGACTGGAAGAAAACATTTGCAAATCATAGCTGGTAAGAGATTAATATCCAGAATATATAAAACACTTCTGCAATTCAACAACAACAAAAAGCAACTTGACCCTGAGGACCCTTCTTTTTTCCCCACCTGCAAAGGCGCCTTATATGTGTGGGGGTTTTGGGAGCTGACAGAATCCCCTCCCCACACTGCAGACTGGACTGGGAGATCTCAGATCTCAGACCTCAAGATCTGCCATGAGAAATCAGACAGCACAGGGAGGAAGCATCTGCAGACATGTGATGGGAGAGTTCAAGGACAGATCTGAGTCACAAGCAAATGCAAAATAACTTCTTCTAGGCTCTTTTCTGGAAACCAGGAAGATCTCCACCACAGTGCTTGATGTAAATGCTTCAGGGATCCACTTACCAGAGACTGTGATAGTCTTGACCGTGAACTTATTGAGGCGAGTGCCAGGGTTATAAACAAGGCAGGCATAGGATCCAGTATCATTCACAGTGATGTTGGGGATAAAGAACTCCTGTGAGGATGGCTGGGGGCTCCCATTGATAATCCAAGAATACTGTGCAGGCGGGTTAGAGGCTGAGTGGCA